GGAAAAAAAAAGCCACCAGTACGGCAGATCACCGCGTCGTAAGCGACTGCTTAAAGAAAGTGGAATTTTTTTTGCCGTGATTCTTTGAATCTAAAGAAGCGCACTCGTTTATTGATTCTCCGTTCCAACATTAATCTTGTAGCACGCAGCCATTTGTTGTTATTTGCAGTTCTGTTTCTCAAGATTCATGCACTCAAGATGTTTGATTCTTGTCCCAAAAGACATTCTCTTTGTTTGTTTGTTTGTTTTTTCTTGCCCCAATTTATCTTATTTCCATTAGTTGCATTAACAAATCATTTTTCTTGCCATTTTCAGCATCACTGATAGTACTCAAGCATACACTACTCCGTAAATATCTTTTTAAAGAATTTTACTCTGCAAGCATGCCATTTTCCTACATCAGCTAGAAATTCAAACAAGGTCACGTTGTATCTCCAAACGGCAAAGCTGATTGATTCAATGAGGCTGTGTATCTGTTCAAATGCACCCGAAATCTCTCTTGTTAACATCTTGAACAATCCTTCAGTGGGCTCGTTTTGTAGTGGCCAATGCATTTTGGTCAGCTCCCTCCCCCATCGCAGCTCTCTCTTTGATCGAAAATCTAAAAAGGATCGAGGATTTTTCTCATTCCCAAGATACCCTCTATGCACTGGCCTAGATTCTTGCTAAATCCGGACAAACTAGTAAACTCAGAGCATTGATCGATGCCATCAATAGTGGCAAGTTCGTAAACGTGTATGCAGGGTGTTTATGAAACTATTACAAATGTTACCATTGATGAGAATTCGTCGTACATTAAGGAAGCATTCTTTATTGGTCGAAGCTTTTACAGACTCCGACAATTTAGATGTTGCCAAGACTTCGCTTAACGAGATGCGGTCTGACTGGACATTAAAACATTCTCCCACTATGCAATGCCATTATTTATTATTATTATTATTAGAGGTTTCCAAAGATCGACTTATATCATGACTACCGAGTAGCGACAGAATTAGCCGTAATTATCAACTCCTCCAGAAACCACGATGGGGCTCCTGACCAAGTGCTTGCCAGTTTTCTCAACCCAAGTGAGTGAACCATACGTCGGAAATGCATCAATATCACCCCTATAACGAATGTTTAGAGTATAACTCTGCTTCTCGTATTTCTTTTGAAACACTAGAGTCTTTGGCTGAATCCTAACTCTGGTGTTCTCTGGTTTTTCCAGCTTTACTTTATACGTGGCTGCACCATTCGCCACATTCGTGACTGTCCTGTGGAATGTCTGGTTAAACATCATACCTCTTTCGTCATTGTTAAAAACAGCAATGAAAGACGGGTAATTCAGGTCGGAGGATGGGGTCGAGCAGTTGTAGGTTGATCTCGTGATTGTTTGAGTTTCCTCGCGAGTCAAATTCATGGAGCAAACAAGATTCACAAAGTCTTGTGGGGATGCATCGTAAATGAGGCCTGGATCAAGCGCACGATTAGGATCCACCTGCCCTGATCCAATGCCTAGAGGCGTGGCGTTGCTGTAATTAAACGCCGAGTCCTTGATTGGCTGATTGGTATTATCAAGATGATTGGCAGTTGTCATCATTGCGGATTGAATAGCCGAAGGACTCCAATCGGGGTGCGCTGCTTTGAGAAGCGCAGCTACTCCGGCTATGTGAGGACAAGCCATTGATGTGCCGGACAAGAGATTGTAATCCCTGGACAAGAACAAGTTCTTTCCGATAATCGGTGCACTAATAGTAGTGTCAGGATTGTACGCTGCTAATATCAGCACTCCCGGTGCCATTATATCGGGCTTCAATATGCGGTCGTAGCTTTGTCCAGGGCCTCTAGATGAGGAACCTGATAAGGCTGGAGCAGCTCTCGGCTCAGTCCCTATAATCGTCTGTTGAAAATCGATGCTTGCTGTTGGAGCGGTACTACTCGATGCGTACCTGACCACCTCCACGCTTTGTGCCGGAGTGATTATAGCACCGGGAAATTGAAAATTATTGGATCGAAGTAAGCTGGTGTCTTCGGAAATAACAATAACCGCTCGAACGTTAGAATCCGCCAGATAGCCCCACAGGAAAAAGAAAAATGGATCTTCCTCTGTCTTGTTGCAGATGATTATACTGCCAGATGGTGCTTCTGCCAATAATTCAGTTGAGTTGCAGGCAGATAAGGTCTCGTTGTACACAAGGGGCAAGTTTCTGATTGATGCGCTTGCAGGAAAAGTGGTCCACCCTGTGATGGATTTCCCGTTCCCGAGGATCACGGTGCCACCAAACCACCGATCAACGGTTCCCGATGCGACCACCACGGCCCACGGTATTCCTGCTCGCACAGTCGCGATACTGTAGCCGCGATTTCCTGCAGAAAAACAAACCAAGACACCCTTCTCACGAGCACCAAAGGCAGCTACAGCGATAGGGTTCTCGTACAGACTGGCCCGCCGAAAAGTAATCGAAATTGAAATTATATCAACACCGTCAGCCACCGCCTGGTCGATTCCCGCCAGTACATCCGATTCGTAGCCTCCGCCGAACAGGACTTTATACGCCGCCAGCCTGGCCCGTGGTGCCACCCCTCTTGCGGTTCCGGGGGCGTAACCGAAGAAGGATACTCCGTCGACGTAATTACCGGCGGCAATGGAGGCAACATGGGTCCCGTGACCTTCGTTGTCCCTCGCAGTATCCGGGACAGGGTTATCAGGGAATGCGGCACGAGTACCTTGGTTGAAATATCTGACTCCGATGAGTTTCTTGTTGCACAAAGACGAATTGAAATCTTGGCCGCCTTGGCAACTGCCCTTCCACTTTGCTGGGATTGCAGTCATGCCTTCATCCCTAAAGCTCGGACTCTCCGGCCAAATTCCGGTGTCTAGGATTCCGATTATCACATCTTTGCCGTAGTTAGATGCCGGCCACAATCCCGAAGCAGTGTTGAGTGAGAGGAATTTATAGGAATGTGTGGTGTCTGCTGTGACAACACCATCTTCAAAAGCCGAAAGGAAACCGGGCAACTTCTTTAAGGCTTCCAGTTCTTGTTTGTTCATCACCACACTGAATCCATGGAAGGCATTATCGTAAGTGTAGATAATCTTCGATTCAGATTCGTCGAGTGATTTAGCAGAAGTGAGCATGGAAGAATACCAATGATGGTGGCTGGAGAATGCCTTGGGCATGGAGGATTTGTCCATATGGACAATATATGTCGATCTTTCTGCCGAAACATCACCAGCCAACAGAAAAATCGAGACAAGAATTAGAGCAGCTGCCATAAGAGGAAGCTCCATTAATTTTTCAGTAGCTCTGAGTTGTGAATATGGTAGATTGGTTTAGACAAGTAGTTATTAGTACCATTCTGTTATATAAAGATAATTAGTAAGCATTGACGGCTGCTTGCTGACTTTTCTTTGCTATGCCAACCAATTACTTTATATTTTTTGTCTTTAAATTCTGTTGTCATCTCTGCCAGGGCAAGTTTATAATATTGCAAGATAATGCAAAGGGATATACAAAAATCCTTGTGGCATTTATTGTATAATAATAATAATCTTCAATTATTATTGTATTTGTACGTACTTGATATGTTTATAAAGGTGCATGTGAGTATAGTGAGTGTCACTCTCACAGTAAAAAAACTGTAGGGAAGCTTGATGGTTGCACAATTACCGGTCACCATTCACCGACATAAAATGTTAGAAATTTCTTTGGCCGAGTATCCACATGTATGGATATCGCTCTCGACTGTTGGCTAAGGGATTCGAATTTTGGTCAATTAATTCAATAAACTCGGTTGCTCTAACCGCGACAAACATTTTCGTATTAATACCTGTTGGTAGTTTATTCTCTTTAATATTGATATTTTATGATTTTTGCTATTTTACCACCAAGGTGAAATTGGATTGGGCTGATGTGGGAGTTTTATTTTTGTAATTTTTATGGGCTATGATTTTCGCTACGGCCCAATCTTCATATTTTATGACTACCAAATTATAATAAAAATTTCCAATTATTATGAAAGTATTTATTATACATTCAATTTTCGGGTCGGATCCATTACCCGAACCGCATCCGTCAATTTTTTTTCTCGTAACAGAGTTGCAGAAGGGTTTATCAAGGGTCTCATTTTGAACGAAACTCTCTCTCTCTCTCTCTCTCTCCTCTCTCTCTCTGGTATGTATGTTCCGTTACTCTTTCTTCATATTCAGGGATTTGATTTCAATTAAACCTCGTACTTGTCTGACATCTCTGTTCATTCATTTTCTGAAGCTGAATATTAGGGGGGAAATAAATAATGTGATTTGATTTGGCTGTAGATCGTGGAGATTCAGCTATGGCATTGCCAATTTCTAGAAGAGTATTGCGTGCTTTTCGTTCCTCCGATTTTTCATTTGCACCAGCTTCTCTTTGTAACAATGGTATGCCGTTTTCGTAATTCTGTTTTCTTCATTTTATTTTTATTTTTATGTGCTGAGCTTCTTCATTGGAATTAGGGTTGCCAATTTTTTTTTTTCGTAGAAGTATCTAATTTCATTCTATTTTTCGTATGAAGCAGCTTCGAGTGGCCGCGTTGGGGACAGCTTACCTCCATTGCAGTCTTCTGTAGCTGGAAAGGTTGATTTTAACATAAACCCTAGCACAGTTCTTAAGATTTTTGTTTCGATTTTTAATTTAGTAATGGTTTTTTTTTTTATCTTATTATTTATTTTCTCTGTTAGAGCTGAATCATGAGTAACTTGCTATCTGTGCCAGGTGTTTGATGTGTGCCGGAGGTATTCCACTACGATTTTGACCCTAAATTCAAGTGAAGGCACATTTCCCTCAAAAGATGTACTGGTTCCTGATCGGAAACTAGGTACGACAGCTTCAGATTTCACATATGAAGATAATCTGAGTATTTTGTTTGAAAATGTTTTTGGAACTGGACTCCCTTTTATCAAGGAGTGACAAAATTAAAGGAAAAAAAATAATAAAAGTAATTCCTATATGAAACTACTCGCTGGGTTTCTTCACATTTAGTTACGAAAATTATGGAAATCGTCCATTGATTATTGTATCGTTGTCGTAGGTCTCTATCAAGACCTGGTTATTCCCGTTACAAATTTTAGCAACGAAGACAAGGGGTTTATGGTATTGGCTGGTGATGTTTTTGATGTGCCAATTAGGAAGGATATAATTCACCGTGTCGTAAGATGGCAGCTTGCTAAAAGGCAGCAGGTATAAATATGATTCTCTACTTGTGTTGTATGTTTTTGTGTAGTTATTACAACTTATTATGTGTGCTTAATTCTTAGGGCACCCATTCGACCAAAAATCTAAGTGAAGTGAGTGGGACTGGTAGAAAGCCTTGGCCGCAAAAGGGTACTGGTCGAGCAAGGCATGGAACACTGCGGGGCCCACAGGTGAGCTCGTCTTTTGCTTATAAGGATCTTAATTTTTCTCTGCAATAGAGAGTTTGTACTTTGTTGTACTAGGTTAATGTTGTTATCAACAGTTTAGGGGCGGTTGTACCATGCATGGTCCAAGGCCACGTAGTCATGCTATCAAGCTAAACAAGAAGGTTCGTCGATTAGGGCTAAAGATTGCACTTTCAGCTCGTGCAGCAGAAGGCAAGGCAAGTACAGTCCAACGAACATATTTTAGTATTCCATTGGTATTGAACTAAATTTAAAAAAAATACAATGCTAATGTGCAGCTTATGATTTTCGATGATTTGGAGGTACCTTCACATAAGACAAAGAACATTGTCAACTACGCGAAGCAAATGGAGGATGCCAAGAAACTTCTGCTTGTTGATGGTGGTCCATTAAACGAAAAGCTGAAGCTGGCTACTCAAAACGTACATTATGTCAATGTACTGCCTTCAATTGTAAGTCTCGTCTGATTGTTCGTTTATTTACTTGGATGAAATTTATTTCGGTTATTGTATTTGTGTAACAATTGTTTTTTTTTTGGTTATAATGTTTTACAGGGTTTAAATGTTTATAGCATTCTGCTGCACGATACGCTGGTAATGTCACGTTCTGCTGTGAACGCAATAGTCGAAAGAATGCACACTCCAATCAATCGGTAATCAACGTTTCTCCATGCTGTAACCTGAGTTTTCTGGAACTTTCTGGAACAACCATAATTTTCGCACTTTTTTTCTCCCATAATAACCTTTACTGAAAAAACGAAAAAAAATCTCAAACATGTCCGATGGCCTACAATAATTGCTTACGTGAATGAAAGATAAGTTGCACTAATTTTTCCATGAATCCTAATAAACAAATACTGCTACCAATAGTTTGGATAAATCGGAGGGACTGGGTATCGAATAATTCATTTCTCTTTCTCATAACTTATTCGAAGAACGCGGCCATTACGCAAGGTTCTATTTTTTTATTTATTTGTTTTTTATGGGAAAAAGAAATTGCAAAAAAGCCTTTTGTTCTATAGTGTGTACATACATGGTGATGTTGTTTAAAGAGTCTAGACAAATGGTGAGAAGATGCCATTGATGAAGGCTAAGTTGGGCCCCACACACACACACTTGCAATAATATTTTTTGTTCTTTTAGAGAGAGACTTTTTGTAGTTCGTTCATCCACTTTGGTTAAAGCTTAATTTTATGACTTAGAATCCAATGATCCATTTAATTTCTCCAAATACATTAGTTATTAAGTTAATTTAACAAACTGTACTTCATTGACTTGTTTATGAAATTTGTCATAATTATCCGGAAATAGTTAGGTATAAATTCAATCAAGTTTTTTGAGAGGGCAAATTACGGTCATTCCCTCGATGTATGCTTGAATTACGAAAAAAGTTCTTATATTAGAATAATTACAATCATCCTTTCAACTATGTGTTGTTTTACGAAAAAATCTCTTATTTAATAGATAAATTTGTAGCTGTAAAGTGGACGTGTAAGACAATACATAGTTGAGGGGTGTTTGAAATTATACAAACATGAGGGAATTTTTTGTAATCTGAAGATAAGGGTGACCGTAATTTACCTTTTTCATAAGGTAAAATAATTCTTTTTCCCCCATTCGGCGCTGGTGTTGGAGTAAGGGAAAATAAAAAAATAGACGTGTAAGCCAATGCACAGTTGAAGGGCAGTTGTAATTATCCGATTATGAATAATTTTTTAGTAATTTCAGCATATTTGAGGGGTGTCCTTATTTACCTTTTTGATAAGGTAAAATAATTTTAATTTATAATTTTTCCTTATTATTTTTGGCCCATTCGGCGGTGGTGTTGGAGTAAGAGTTGAAAACAGGCACATCTGACAGGTATAGTCATAGAGGACATTTGGTACAAGGGATTTAGGAACACGTGACCCCATAATAATAATAATTAACGCAATCTGTAATATTTATTATTTTATATTTTTTAAATATTATTTTCCTTTTTTCTGCAATGTTTTCTCTCTTTATTTTTGCTTTTTTCCATCCAAAATTTATTTTCATTTCCATCCCAATGAGAAAAAAAGCACGAAGAAAAAGCAAAACACACAAACAAAGCAATGTGCGCCGCTTGCAGCACACACAGACACACGTGGGTGTGTGTGTGCAGATGTATACATACATGCTGGTAGTGTATAATAAAGATTAAAGAGTCTACAAAATATTCGGTATAAATTAAAAAGTCAGTCAAGTATATATTAACGCCCATTTATTGTTCCAATTTCCAATATTGCCATCTAATTTGCTCTATAATGACTCTTAAGCTTATATTTATTTTTTATGTAAATATTTGATATGATATTTTAATTCACCATCCTATATAATATATATATAGTGTGACAATAGCTGATAATCTCTTAAATGACATCGCACTCTCTTGTTCAGTTAGTCCGTCCCTTACTAATTATGATTCATTAAGTCATGTTATATACCACAAATCAAGTGAAGGAGATGTAAGAAAAAATATGAAATAGAGTGATGCCTCTTCCGACTTAATCAAAATTCGATTTCAATTTAAAACACGTGTAATTCGGAAAAATCGAATCCGACCCTCCTTTACTTTCGATAGATTTTATAATTTTCTCATCTCTATTTTATTCCATTTATGGTACTTTTTCAAATTATAAGATACATTCGGTGAATTTCACAAAATGGAATATTACTACTATCAATTTTTTACATGTACATGTAATAATACGCCGATCTATGGTATAAAATTATACCATATATTTCATTACAGGAACACATGACCCCATAATTATTACCACAATCTTTATATTTATCTTTATCTTTCTTTTCTTCTTATTTTAATTTTCCTTTTATTCTTTTATCTGCAGCAGTTTTCATTTCCATCAAAAAAAATCATTTTTCATTTCAATCCCATGACCCATCACTGGAAACTGCTGCGAGGAATCGGCTCATTGATTTGACCTTTTCATTTATACCCATTAATGAAAAATCGATAAATAAATAATAAAAATAAAAAAAAAATGTTTTATTCTCCCATATAATGAATTTCATGGAATTTTCTGAGGGCATAGAATGTGGCCCTGTGGGGGATTATGATTTATTGGTGGGGTGATTTGAGTTAAATTAAAGATTACTGCCCTCCCTCATTAATCCCTCTCCCACCCATCTCTCAATTTTCACACCACCACCACCACCACCCACCTCTTTCATTTCATTCCCCCATCTCATCTCTCCTCTCTCTCTCATCTTTTTTTTCTTTTTTATTTTTAATTTCTTTAATTTTCTCATCCACCCTCTATAATCTTCTGTAAGGTTTGAGTTTTGAGGTTTGTGCCCAATTTTTGTTTGTGAATTCTACTTGTCTGAAGAGGGGGGGTGGGGGCCGGTGGGGGGAGATTTCGATCATCTATCAAAAGTTTTGCAATTTTGTTTCCTTGCAAGAAATAACATTTATTGTTTTGACTGTTTTTGTTTGGCTGTTTACAGGTTTGGACTTTAGATCTATCGCTGCATCTGCTTCTATTTGGCTGGTATGATTCCTCTGATTGATTTTTTTACCTCTCTATTCATTTTGTTAATCTGATACTGTTCTTCCTGTTCTGTTTTTGGGTTAAAAAATTGATCTTTTTGGCTGGGTTTTTCTCATCTAGTTTAATTGTTTCATGGGATTCATCTCTTACCTTGTCTTTTCTTTTTATTTCATGGGTTTAGCATTTTTTTCTCATTTTATTTATTTTTTGATAAAAAAAGTTTATGTGGCCTTATCTTAGAAGTATTTGTGGTTGATTGATGATTTGTATGATTCAACCTTTTCCTTGTCTCTACGAAAGTTTTACAATCTGTAAGTTGTTGCCTCTTTTATTTCCCATTCTTACATTCGAAGGTCACTCGCCGTCAGCTATAAACGGTTTTCGGGTGTATATACATATTTGCAGTGTGGAATTTGGTTGAAAACGAGTTAATCTTTGTCGAGGCTTAGTTCTTAATTGTATGCTGTGTCCTAGCTCACCTTTCTTTTAGCACAGAATCAGTGTCGAGCTGTCGAGATAGATTTTTGGAAATACCGATTTTTCGTCGCTCTGGTGGTTTTAGATACTTGATAATACTATATTAGTATATTATATAGCTTGTTCTTGTTGGTGCTCAAGTTCAGACAAGAACACGCATGATTTCACTTAATTTAGAAACTTGAAGTTTTATTCCGCAAGTTCAGATGGAGACGGAGACGTATGATTTTCCACTGCAGTTGTAATTCTTTCATTTCAATGTTTATGATATTGGTAAGCATTTGTATTCACTCTGAGTTTTGATGCTTACAGATTTGCTGAAGAACAAGTTATTGGGATACTCGATAAATCCAGATTTAGTAACCCTAATGAAAGGGCACAGAGGTCTCGTAACTACCCTACCCGAAAATTTTAGCTTCGATAATGGCTCCACATCATCCGATGCTGCCATAGACACTCAAATGTCGTGGACACCATGC